ACAAGTACAAACACCAAAAACTGATTGAAATTTGTCTTTAATTTCACAGAAAGCAGACGACTTTAACTTTAAAAACTCCACCGGAATGGAAGGTGTAATTATTGATATTTTTTCAAAAAAGCTTTTTGCATCTAGTGTAATTTTTGACCATACATTTAAAAAACCACCAAAGATCAGAGGTTTTGGGTTCAAGCCCTCTATATGAAAAAGTCCTAGGTATCGAGTGCTTAATTTCCTCCAAATGGGGCCTTAAGTGACGCGAATTCAGAATAGTCGAGCTCCAATGCGGTACCAAATACCAAATAAAAAAACAAAAATAAAATAAAAAATACATTCTAAGAAATTTCAGCTTCACAAATCCAATGGGGTTTTAACCATACATTTATTACTGATAGGTTGAATCTATCACAATTGAATATATATGAGTACTTTCACCATCTCTTAAATTTCTATGACTTAAAATTTGGTACAAAATTATTAATTAGTAAGACAATATGTAATTATTTTAAACTATAAAGTGAATTAGTATTTAGGGTAGAAACTATAAACTATAAAGTGAATTAAACTTGACTTCGCAATGAATTTATGAAGTCAAGTCATGTTGTCAGTGACATAAAAATTATCCTTATTTTTTCTTTGCACCTTTATTTGCTTGTACTTTTAGTGGTCCATTGTGTGCATATTGCATTGAAGTTTTCAATAAATTTCCTACTTACTTCTAATAATGTACATATTTATTAAAATAACTCTTTTGACCGGTTATATATCTTCTATACAATGAAGTCTACTCTTCATGCTTGGCCAGTTATAAAGAAATTGCTAGGACATTATCCTACAGTTTCAAATAAACAAGGCCCACAATTTGTTAGGTAAAATTTCATTTTACGTCTTTATATTTAGATTATTTTTATTCATTTAATTTATTTTCGACCGAGAAATGTTTTGATTCTAAGGTGAGTTTTAATGGATATCAATAAAATTGGTATGATGTTTCAAATTAAAATTTTATCTAAGACAATATCTTATTAGGATTGGTAAGGTACTGTTAGACACTTTGTCTAGTGATAGATTTGCTATAAAAAAAAAAGAGGTGATTTAGTTCCTTTTGCCAGCAAGATGAATAATTTTTTTTAAAAGAAGAGAAAATTCAATATCATAATTCAATGTTTCTGATAGCAAAAGATATGTATGTTCATCTCTTTTGACAACTCTGATTCTAATTCACACAACTCCAGTGGAATACGTTTGATTCCTGGAAATAGTTCCCTTTGCTCCGTTAGCTGGTGTAAGAGAGATGTCGTGGCACCTTTACTAATATATAAGACAATGGATTATTGCATACACAAGTTCTTTCGCGATTCTCTTTCTCAGGCAGAGGAAATATGTGCCCTTCATATGCAGTGTTACGCGAAACTCCAAGTTAAATGTGCCCTTCATACACGTTACCTATTGCTTTCATAAAGATTGAAGTCAACAAGCTGGAAAACAGACAGCTCCTTAGATTTCAGTAGTTAAACGTAATTAAATACTGAGAGTTGTGCACTCCTTACTGTATCGTTGCCGCTCGATGAGTCCCTTCTCTGTTGTCAACATCCACGACTCCAACGATATTCAATACCTTCATATACATAATTTTTTGTCAGATAAAATATATAATAATAACTTGTGAGCTACTCAATCTTGTGACAAAAGAAACCGATGATCTGTGTGACCTAATCTAATGTTACATTAGCTACTTAAAAATTTCCAGGCATACTCCATACAGACATTTTCCCTTTCTCACTTTCTCCCTTGAAGATTGTATCGAATGAGGAGTTGATTAAGAACAGCTCTACATACTATGACTAATCTTGTTGCTTCAGATTCACATTTTACTTCAAAAGAAGTATAAGAGAACTGAAAGAGATCACGAGGGAGACGAACCTCAACTTCACAGCCTCTTTGAGAGAGCATCAAAATGAGTTTTAAAGCCATGGATCAGTTGCTGATAAGTTTGTTGTTGATAAGGCTCATATCCAGCATATTGCTGATAATATTGCTGATAATGTTGCTGATACCACTGCTCTGAAGTAGGCACACCAGCTGAAGCAGTAGCAAGAGCCTGAGAGCTGGCATTTGTTTACTGATTGGGATCATGTCCATTAAGCAGAGAAGCAGTGCAATCAGACAAGGAACCTTCCCATGTGCATCCACTTCTGTGATAGAGATAAACGCACTTTAACTCTGCCTATGCTTTCAGCAAGTGTCTTGTCCGACTCAATAAGGGCCTGTGAGGAAAAGTAAATGCAACACATTCAAAATACCGCGAGTAGCAAAAGCATCAGCAATTATCTGAAGGACAATGTACTACAGGGAGCTCACTTTAGAGTCTGCTTCAGTCACCAAGTATCCACCATAAGGACAGGCTCGGCTCCAATTGGCAACATGTGCCAGACAAGCAGTAGAGATGAGTGCACTGTGATTGGACGGCTTCATTAGGAAATACGAGTGTGCGATAAACAGGACAGAAATACTCTCCAGGATAGGTATGGATATCGATTATGCATTCAATATCAAAACCCATTGCAACTCAGGAGTAAGATGTCAGTTTCCACCACACATCAATGCAATTATGCTTCTGGTAGATGAAAGTTGCTCTTGATGTGCAAACTGCAAAGCTCATCAATGCAATTTGTTTATCCTTTGGGAATTACACTTAGCCTTTTCTCTGTGAACTTACAACACCTACAAATGATAATCCAGTGAAATCTTTATATCGGTTGGGTACATCTACAGAAAGACGAAATTCAAATAGAATGAATTATTGCATACACAAGTTCTTTCATGAATCTCTCGGTTTTGTTCTCCGTTTCCCAGTTTTCTCTGCAAAAGTAATCCAAAACCAGAATAAAACTTGTTATAACCACTTATAAGTAATTAAAATATTGATGTTAGTAAGACAAGAGGTAATCACATATTCCTAATCCAAAACGATCACAACATGTCTAATCATGAATTATTGCATTTCATCTTTGAGCAAAGGGCTTAAAAATCTAGCATTCAAAGTTTAGCAAGAAATCAAAAATGTCATGACTCATTATCTCACCACAGAAAGTGGATCTGCTGTCATTTATCTCATATAATAGACAAGTTAATACAAAGACTCTTGGTGGTTATACGATTTTTTTTTTGTATTTGGGAACTCTTTTCTTTTTGGTCTGTTCCAAGAAAAAAATGACACTTTCCTGTATTTGGGAACTGTTCTAACTTTAAAAGTGGCATGCTTTCATGGGAATAAGGGTAGGACTAACCGCAACTTCACCTCGTAAGAGTAGCACCCCGATGTTTTGGCAAAGTTATCTTGCCATTCATCTGCAATTTATCTATTTGTCAGAAAATGAAAAAGGTGATTATATTTCGAAATGAAATTCAATAAGAATGAATTTTTGCATACCCAAGTTGTTTCTTAGAAAACATGTTCCCAGTTTGTTTTAACAAACTAATCCAAAATGATGAATTAGTGAGGGGATTTAAACTCACTGCTGATATGTACATCACCCATTGCCAATAGGGAAAAGAATAAGAAGATATATAAACAACAACAACAACAACAACATACCCAGTGAAATCCCACTAGGTGGGGTCTGGGGAGGGTAGAGTGTACGCAGAACTTACCACTACCTCGTGGAGGTAGAGAGGCTGTTTCCGGGAGACCCTCAGCTCAAGAACAACAAATCTAAGAAGATATATAAACAGAGAACACAATTTCATGAGTTATATAGCTACCTATATTTAATCTATAATCCGGGCTTGTGGGAAAGAGTGGCACTTGTACTTGTGACCTTTGTTTCTTAGAAGAGGAGCAACTTGCCTCTTTTTCATATCTGCTCTTCCTTATCTCAATGTGAAGCTCAGCTTCATCTTTATAAAACAAATGAACTCCAAAATCCTTCTTTTCTCCAGAGGAATATAACCTAATGCTCCCATAGTCATTTGGTGTTTTTCCATTTGCAATAGATGCATCCCATAAGCCACCAAGAGGTACCAACAAAAAATGAATATCTCATTCATCAGAATATTTTGAATGGTTGGATAAGGCAAATTTCTGGGTCATCGGCGACATCCCATCATCACATAAGGGAATCAAATGAGCTGTGATGTCATCAATTAATTCGTCATAGTAACATACAGCAAATCCCAAGAAGTTGTCTGATGCATATCAATTCTCAGGCAAATTGACAGATACACTTGTATCCATTCCTTGATGGTGAAACCAACTTGGAATATTCCATGTCAACACCCTGCTCGTAAACACTCTTAGTGACAAGGAATCTGAAACAGAGATGTCATGCAGCAATAATGAGATATTCTGAAACAATGAATTACAGATTCGATCATTGCTCCAATCTGCATATATTGTATGTAATTGTTGTGGAAATTCTGGCAGTTGTGTAAGCCTGTTGCAATCCGACAAGTCCAAGGTTTGAAGAGCACCAAGTTGGACTATGCTTTGAGGCAAATACTCAAAATTATTTCCACTGAGATTCATCTCTTTCAAAGAGGATAAGCATCCAATGTCTTCTGGAAGTACTCCATCTGTTAAATTGCAGTAACTGAGATTCAGAATTTCCAATGAGTGTAACCCTTCATTCATCTGAGGGAACACAAAGAACAATCCATCTTCTGATTTTACTTTTGCAAAATTCAATAATTTAAGCTTGTTCAACCGGACGATGGAAGACGGAGGTCGTGAGATTAGAGTATAGTTGGCATCAAGCTGCTCCAATTTTCCTAAATCACCTATCTCTTCTGGCAAGCTTTCAAGTTTTGCGCAGTTCGACACATCTAGCTTCACCAAACCTTTCAACTTACAAATGCTGCTTGGAAGAGCTACAAGATATTTCATGCCACTCAAATGTAGCTCTGTAAGATGAGCTTGGGGATGAATGATACATAATGGCAGTTCCCTTATCCCAGAGTCTGACATCTTAATCTCTAACTCCGGCTTCATTCTTCTGTGGATTTCTGGAAATTTCTTTAAACTATAGCAGAAGCTTAGATTCAGAGATTCAAGAGATTCCACATTAACGTATGGAAACCTCTCAAGTGTTGTACAAAAAGACAAATTCAACAGGATGAGTTTTCTGGAACACCCCAAGGAATGGTGAACCTCTTCAAGATTCGTACATTCCCCTAGATACAAATACTCCAAATTTGGCATCCCCTTGAAATCTGGTGTTCTCTTCAGGCTTTTGGAGCAACTTAGATTTAGCCTCCGTAGAGACGGCAATTGCTGCTATTCAAAACACACAAAGATTGATGAAAAATCACTAGAGTACGTAGTAAACACCATTTTTTAGATTATTTAGGGAGGACATGGGAACAAAGAAATTTAGGAAAGATACAAGTGTTAATTTTTACTGCTTTCTACTTGGTGTAAAGATTGAAGTTTGAATAAAGAAGATGTTGGTTGTTGACAAAAAAAAAAGATCGAGCTGAAATTGGAGAGATTAAAATGCACTGAATTAACATATTGGTGTTTACCTTTTGTAACCATAATTTAAATTCCAATTTAAGAAAATAAAAAAATAATTTCTTGATCTTGAAGTGAAAAGTCATTAAACATCAAACCAACCAAATAAACATATATTTAAGATGACTCACTCAATATATATTCTATGAAAAAATACAATTTAATTTCTTTCAATTATATTGATCCCATAAAAGCAAAATTATTATTTACAAATGGAAAGTATGGATAGATAAATTCTAGAAGATATAAAGTGGATTGCAATTCATACATTTAACATGAGAATATACATTGCATCAATGCAAAAAAAGAATATTAAAATGGGTTGAATTGGAGATTTAATTTCGCTCAATTGAAAATCCTTTTAAAATGGGTTAAAGCTTGGATGGGTTGAGATCAATCCAATTTTTAATTAGGGAAAATTGTGCATAATGGCAAACTTTTTTTTAAAATAAATAATATAGCTATAGTTTAATTTAATTCCTCATAGTAATAAGTAACTACAGCTTCATTTTTTTTGCTATTATTGGGTCCCACTAAAAAATTAGTTTGGGAAAAACGGAAGTTATTTATACAAGGGAGTCTATACAATTCATCTCTTTTTCTCTCTCTCTTAGACCCTTCAAATTCTCCTACAATTTCTCCATAAAATCAGTTTTGAATTTCAAATATTCTTCATTGCACTCTCAATCAACCGTGGATTCAAAAATTTCAGGTACCGCCAAAAAGTGTATAATCGATTTGCTTTTAAGCTTCTTTTTTTTTTTTTTTCAATTTTTAAAGTTTTTCATGAAATTTCTCATCAAGTAATCTTGCATACAGTTGTTGAACGTATACAATGGATGATCACACTCCAGCAACAAGATTGACAAGAGGTATGCATTTGCATGGCCAAAAATTTGATGAAAAACCATCCTTTTCTTTGGGTCTAACTCAGGAATTTGGGGAGGTTGCAGGTTCAATAGACAGATCTAAAGCTATTGGAGAAGTTAGATCTAAATATAAGAATGACCCAATTAGATTGAAAGGAATCAGTGGAAAAGCAAAGAAAATTGGCGTAATGATTGATTACTTATAAGAGGTCAGGGTGATGCGCGCTAGTTCGACAAAGAAGAGGAAATGATCAAAAGAAATTGATCCTTCTGATGAACATGGAGAGTCTATCGAAGAGGTGATTTCTGCCGATTTGGAGCAAGTCGAACATGAAGAAGTTCAGGTATTTTCAGTATTTTGCATGTTTTAAAATTGTATAGTAAGTCTTATAGTTAGTTTTTCTTATAGATTTATGTAATTTATATGGTTGTTTATACAGATCGGTATATTTACCAATTAGATTTTTTATACAAAGTTATTGTATAATTAACAATAGATAATATAAGAAGCTTACTATATATACACTTTAATCAATAATACATTTAAAATTTTCTGTATAATATTTAATAGCTTGTATATATATACAAAAAAAACATGTTTATAAAGCATGAAAGTTGTTCTCTTTATATGTGTGTTTATACAAATATGTTTTTTATAGCAATTAATTATAATTGATCTTATACAATTTTATGTTTGTAAATGTTTTCAACTATATATGTTTGATCTTATACAATTTCAGTTATACATGTTTGATCATAATTTCAGTTATACAATTTTATGTGTGCCTTTTGCTTTTATACATTAATATGCAAGTAAAGCTGTATATGCATTTCTTTTCAGGGTGTTAAATTTTCAGGCAAAAGAACGTCAACACGTACACCTCACATGCAATGTTATACAAATGTTGAGGTAATGGATGTTTTAGCTGGAAAACTATCTGAAACTCAGTATAGACATTTCGATGGAACCACATGTTTTGCTCAGTTGAGTAGCATTCGTAGATGTCATGTACAAGCCCAGCTTATTAGGTGCATGTTTTTGAGGGAGATTGTCAGTAGTTCTAAAGATGCAATTATGATACATGTAAATGGCACATCTCTTCGTTTCACTATAAGGGACTTTGCTATTATATCTGGGTTAAAATGTTGAGATAATGAGTCTGATTTTGCGTTTAATACTGAAGAACCAAATAAGATTATTCATCAGTATTTTGATGTTGATAATTTTAATAACAAAGTGTGGGGTGATAACGATGATGATGCGCTGAAGTTTGCTGCTTTGTTCTTCATTCATACATTTATTCTTTCTGAAGAACCAACAACTACAATAATTGATAGGAAAGATTTTGATTTAGTTGAGTCGGGCAGATATATGGACTATCTATGGGGTAAAAAGGCTTTTGATTTACTGATTCAACATTTGCATACCAAGATTAAACATGATGGAAAGTATTACAGGTTATATGGTTTTCCACTTGCTCTGCAAGTTTGGTTTTATGAATGTTGTTTGGACTTTGATAATGAAATTATTGTAAAATGTCTGACCACATTCCTAGAATCCTCAACTGGAAGACGAAAAAGGATTTTCCTCGTCTAGATTACTTTGCTAAGGGCATGTTTCGAGACGATAATAATCCAGTAGGCATTACTGTTCGTAAACATCTATATCAATTATAATTACATAAATAACTTTATATATATTTATACAATTGCATAATCATATAGTCGCACCAGTTTATATATACAGATTACATCATATTTGAATAGTTTATAAATGTATATGTGAAGTTAAACACGTTTATATTTTGCAGCTTATTTTTCAGAATATAAGTGCAACTCCAATGGAAAATTTGATTCTTGATTTGCCTCTTGAGTATGTTGAACCAGATGCAACTCCAACACATATAGCAGCTGCAATTAATTCGGATGATGATTTTCAGGATCCTCCTTGTCCGGACAATAACAAAGGGAAAGAAAAAGTACAAATTCGAGCAGCCTTTTTCAACATGACATACACTCTAACACCCATGTCATTGTGTATCAACATTGGGGTGTTACTTTCTCCAACCTTGTACTCAATTTTCAGCTTTTTGACCTTTATATCAACCCTAAGTTGATTTGCAATAACGTTATAAAACTCTTGGTATGACGCATTTTCTTTAACAACCACACCCTCAAGTGTTAATCAATGTACTTAGTGTCATCTAACCATCTACCAGAATGCATAACCAAAACAGCTAACGAAGCCATTACTGTTACATATACATATAAAATCCGTCAATTAATAAGAATTATATTTATACAACACTTTAAAAATATAAATTTCTATACTTATACAATTAAATGCCATGTGGTAAGGTCATAATTGATCCCTTTCCATTTTCATATAAATTCCATGTGCATGGTAAAGGTCAAAATGACATGGTGTAACATCCGACAATTTGAAATAGCTAAGAAGAGGCTTAGAATTAGAAAATTTTCAGTTTTTGGAAAGGATTTGAAAATTTGGAAAATTTGGCTAAGTATGGAAATCAGTGATTTTTGGCCAACTTTGAACAGTCATAACTTCCAGCTCAGGATGAGTTAGAAGTAGTTCCGGTTATGGTTGTAAAATTCATGGAACGATCTTTCCAACGCCACCGAGTTTTCTCAATTCCGAGTTCGTATGAGCGAGTTATGGCCTTTGAAAGTTGGGCAGTTGACAAGGAAATCCGTCCGGGAATCATTAAGGGCATTTTGGTCTTTTCCCTAGCTATTTCTTTTGAGGATGTATTGTTGTATAGGGCTGATCTTTGGAT